AAGTTGCCAGAAGTTTGAAATCTGGTGTTAAAGTGGCCAGGTGACAATTGGACTGACTGTAAAGGGTAAAATGGACTGTGTGTAAAGGTATTTTTGTCAAAATAAACAGATCATGTGTCACGTTAAAGTGTCCATTTTAACACCATAATTCCAATTTCGGGCTGCGAAAGGGGAATAATTTGCAACTTTTGGCTATTGAGAGTGTTTATAGTCAAAAGGTAATAAAGGGAGTCTTTTGCAACTCTTTTTTTTTTTTTTCAATAGCATACGGGGTTTAGTACACTTTGGCCTATTAAAGATTACAAGTTTTTTTGTTTTGATTACAAGTTTGGGTGGAGACTCAGTCTTAGGCACTTGACAAATGGAAGTTGGATTGGATTAGGCGACATACAAATGGCTTGGCTCGTAGTCAGAGACGAATCCAATTAAGGCCTGGGGGAGGGGGAATGTGCCCCCTTAAACTTTTAAGATAAGGGGATGGTTCTCTAAGAAGAAATTTCATAAGGAAAATAGGGGAATAATCTAGATCTGCTCTGAATACCGAGGGTAGAGGAATAACTTCTAAAAGATCAGGCTTAGACCGTAGTAAATTGAAAACCAAACACAGGAGCAAGTCGAAAACTAGAACTTGTACGTTAGAACTATGGAAAAGAATGGGCATTTAAGGTTTGATTACCAGGCACTAAAGAAGAAGAGAGAAAAAAAAATTGGAACCTGTAAATGCCGCTACAGAAGAGGTTGTTGATGCTCTGATTTTGAGCATAGATAGTTCGGTTGAGTCATGGTTCTGGACTTAGGTGCATCTTTTTATAATATTCTGCATCGTGAACTCATGGAGAACTATGTCAGTGGTGATTTCGGGAAGGCTTATCTAGCTGATGATGAACCCTTGAATATTATGGGTAAAGGTGATATCCGGAGTAGACAACCTAATAGGGCTATGTGGAAGATTCAGAAATGTGAGGTATGCTCTTAGTTTGAAAAGAAATTTGATCAGTGAGACAACTTGATGATGACGGGCATGTAGTTAACTTCGTGGGTGGTTCATGAAAAATTACTAGGGGAGCCGTGGTTGTGGCTCGTGGAAGTAAGACATGTATTTTTTTACATGACAACAAACACCAAAAACACCGTTGCAATTGCTGATGTTGGCGTTCATTCAAACACGTGGCACTATAAGCTGGGTCAAATGACTGAGAAGGGGATGAAGGTACTTTTGTCGAAAGAAAAACTATTGGATACAAAATTAGTTGAAATTGGTTTATGTGAGGATTGTATCTTCGGGAAACGAAAGAGGGTTAGTTTTTCAAACACTTACAAGACCTAAGACAGAAAAATTAGAGTTGGTTGATACAGACGTGTGGGGACATTCTTTAAGTTTATCTCTTGGCAACTCATTATATTATATTACCTTTATCGATTATTCGATGATAAATGTATGAATTTATTTTCTAAAAAATAAATCTAAAGTATTTAACACTTGTAAGAAGTAAAAGGCCATGGTGGAGAATGAGATAGACTTGAAAGTGAAATATATGAGATTTGATTATGGTGGTGAGTATGAAGACAAAGGCCCATATCACTTTTTTGTTGTTTTGCCTATGAAATATTTGCTATCATTTTAGGCATTAGAAAGGCAAAATGATCAGGCAGGGGGATAATTTGTTACATAAATCAGAATCTCAAATGAGGTAAGTGAAATTTTAAAACCAAGAGGGGGTGTGTGTGAGATATTGATCGACAAACCTCAGAGAAGGTAAGTTGAAATAAAAAAATGGAGTGGGGTCTCCCACTCGACTCCTCCATTCATATTGATAATGTATCACTATGGAGCCGGCCAGCTCAGGGGCAGCTGCCCCCACAAGCCGAGGGTGGCTCCGGCCTGGATGATGGTTATAATGATCCATGCATGAGAGCATGCACATACATTTATGCATGCATGAACAAACGAGAAACTAGTGTAGCTAGGTTTCTACTTTTGGAAGGCCCAAAGAATTTTTTTTTATATATTTTTTTAAATTATTGGAAATTGTGGAACCCATATTATATATCAATACTGTTAGAGGTTGGAAAGATATTATTTTGTTTGCTGGAGAAGACATTCTATCACTCCAAGAAACACTGAAATTTAGATCTTTGGATATCACCAAATACCTAATCAATTATAAGCCTTTTCAAAGGCAACTAATTAACTAAAAGTTGGAGCCTATGTTTATGTTTTTTATTGTGAAGACTTAAAAAGTCAATCTACCAGTCATCAAACAATATGTTACACATTCGAAACATTCCAAATCATTGCTATTACTATAAGAGAAAAACATAAAATAATTAATTAAATTTCCTCATGGAAAGATTATGCTGGGATTGAGGAGAAATTGATTAGATTTGCCTCCCTTTGGGTATGCATTAATTATTGGATGTTATGTTTTATGTCTCATAATCTATCTTCATCATACAAACATCATATATATACACACACACACAAGCTACTTTGTGAGATATAATTAATTTATATATATATATATAAGTATTAAAATAAGACATGAATGGGACATTGGGAAGGATGGGAAGGTCAGAGATTCCACTTCCTTAATGGAGGAAAGGGATGGGGCATTTCTAAATTTTGTTATCTTGACCAAAGACTCTTCTGCCATTCTTCCATACCATACAAACTTCTTCAATTCCATTCCATGTTATGCTATATATGAAAGTAATAAATTAAATTGTCACAACCTAGCCATATAGCAAGCTAGTGTCTTAATTATTAAAATATTTAATAAGAACAAGAATCTAACATATATAATAAGTCCCACTACAAACCATCACCAATAAATTCCAAAGCTCATTCAATTGCAAGACCAACACAAACTCCTTTTGCTTACATCACTGCCTCAGACTTTGTCCCCAACTCTACTATTTAATATGCCTTTGGGGTTGCAGTACATTCATGCACAACAAATTTAATATAAAATTCCAAAAAAAAAAAAAAAACAAATTTAATTTACTACAATAACAGATCCTCTCTAGCTACTTATTTAATACTACAATATTATATATATATATATATGATATCCTCTCTCTCTCTCTCTCTCTCAAGAATGTAGGGTTCCCTTGCTGAGAAGAAGCCAAAGTGAAAATAATAGAGATAACAATGCCAGTCACTGTCAAAAAGTAAAGTATATATTTAAAAACTGGGTTAGGTAATAAACCTTTTCATTTCCTTAATGTTAATGGAAGATTGAGAGCACAGTTTTTGTCAATGAACAGTCAAAGGGAGACTGTGATGGCCTGTCAAACTTCTTTAGTGCAGGATATATGCTACAAATATATATTGAAAGCACTGAGAGCTTCTTTTAGTAATTAGATATATGTGACATACACACACACACACACACACACAAGAAGAGAGAGCCTTCAACTTTCAAAAACAAAGAGAGAGAGATTTCTTAAACTGGGAATTTATTTTTATTAAAGTTATTTTTATTTTATGTTTTTAAATATAGCAACTGTGGTAAAATATAATAGCACTACAGAAATCATCATATATAATTGGGAAAAAGTCCACTGAAATGATATACATTCATCATTATATACATACACACACACATCTTTATATGAGTGTCCAGTTGTAATGTAAAATGAAGAAAACTGAACCAACACATATGGAGAAAGTAAGGAGTGATGATATAATGAAATTCAACAATATTGTGTACAACATGGTTTGCTCTATTGTCAATTCCATTTGACTCTTAAGCTTTTGTAATCATTTAATAGATCGGCCATCTCTAAAATGACCATGGTCCACTTTTTTAACACTTGCACCTAAATAGAGTAGGCATGATATTTTGCCTTGTAAATGTACAGATTAAGAATTAGAGTAAAGTAGATAATCAAAGACCTTGCCTTGATCAGCAAAACAAAAACCTCTGGTGAAATAGATGATATCTTGTGTTTTTTTGTGCTCTAACATGTCAATTCTGGCAGAAATGTCTTAGTACTTGGTACTATAAATTGCCATATATATAGCAAATGTGATTATTGATAAAAAGTTGTAACAATTAGGTACACTTGGAGAGGATGTGTCATGATCATGAAAAACAAAATAAAAACACTTGGTTTTTTGTCCCCTATACAAGTTAATTTAAGGCAGTACTTAACAGTAGATTAGACATGTCAATCAAAATAGGTAAATGTTTTATGAAATTGCATTGTGTAAATAGTGTATTGCCATGACATTTGGAGAATAATTTGTCAAATCACCCATAAGGACACTTTTAACTCATACCTTGTTTATGTGGCCTACAAGGGGTATGGGTTTTAATTGAAAAGAAATCTGAATATAATTTGTCTGCTGAAAAATCAATAGTGGTACAGTTTGTTTTCCATAGCTGTAATTGAATAAATGAAGATATATGGGGTGGTATATGCAGTTTTCATGGACAGAAATGAGTGAAGTGTTGGAAAAAAGAAAATAAGGTTTTTATTTTTTTATTTATATATCTCTAAGGGAACTTAAACTCTCGGCTATCTCCTTTAAAAGATCGAAGAGATATCACTAAATAACTCACCAGCTTAGTTTTTATTTCTATCGAAACTTAAACTTTCGATTTTTTCACTTTTAAAGAAAACGAGGTACCACTAATTGTAACCCGGACAGTAAAAAATAAAGTAATGGTTGAAGAGAAGAGATACATATGTGGTGTCAAAAGAAATGGAGAGTGAGAGGATCTACTCATGATGTGTGTAGAATTATAAGGTTTGGTCCTGATATATGCCTCATAATTGGGATTGAGGGAGGATTTAAAGTAGAGGTAGTTTTGAATGGTGGGTTGAACAAGGGATCTTTGGGAACCGGGCAGGAAAGTGTGGGCCTTAGGAAATCATATTGGTTAAAAAAAATTAAAGCATGATTAAATGCATGTTTGTGTGTTTGTGTGTGTGTGTGTGTGTGTGTGTGAGAGAGAGAGAGAGAGAGAGGTATAAATGTGAGATCTCATTGTTGGTGGCCTTAGCCTTATATAAAGGGAGGATAAGCTGGTGAGCTTTTCCTGCTAAATGTAGAAGAAAGAGTAAAAGAGACTCTCATTGTGCAGAGGACTAATGGAGGAACAACTGAGCCCTTTGGCTGTGACACATCTCCTTCAGCACACCCTGAGAAGCTTGTGCATTCATGAAAATTCTCAATGGGTTTATGCAGTCTTTTGGAGGATCTTGCCTAGAAACTATCCACCACCTAAGTAAGAGCAAAAACAAAATTCATTAAATAATTTAAAGGGGTTTTTGTGATCTATATATATATATATATATACACTACATATATTGGTCAATGCCATAGATGAATTCTCTTTTGTTAACATAGTTAATTGAATTCTCTTTTGTTAACATAGTATCATTTTTTTTTTCCCCATCATTTTGTATCTGATAGGTGGGATAGTCAAGGAGGACCTTATGATAGGTCAAGAGGGAACAGGAGGAACTGGTATTGCTTTGATTAGTTCTTGTGGTGAAATGGATGAGTTGCCAAGCATTTTATATGTGACACTCTGATGCTATATATGTATGTTGTATATATACATGACAGGATATTGGTTTGGGAAGATGGTTTCTGCAATTTTGCTGCCTCGACAGCTGAGATCGACACCGGTGATTGTCCAGGCTCATCTGTCTATGGAAACCGTGAATATCAACACTATCAGGGACTCCAACCAGAGCTTTTCTTCAAGATGTCTCATGAAATCTACAACTATGGTGAAGGGTAAGTGAGAATGTATTACTTTGTTTTCTTTTTATTTATTTACTGATCATTCAATTGGGCCAATGGGGTGATGAATTGACTTTGTTTACAGTTTAATTGGGAAAGTAGCTGCAGATCATAGTCATAAGTGGATATACAAGGAACCAAATGACCATCAAGAAATCAACTTCTTGTCTGCATGGCACAACTCAGCTGATTCAGTAAGCAAATCTCTGATCCATATATATATATATATATATGCTTCCCCATTTTGTAATTTCATGTCTTGTTCCATTTTGATTACATAAACAAATTGTCTGTTTCTTACCAAAATGTTCTTCAACAGCATCCTAGGACTTGGGAGGCCCAATTTCAGTCTGGTATTAAGGTAATTACTTAAACATCACACCCTCCAAAGACTTCAATTATTTCATTGGGGCTTTTTAAATTTTTTTTAAACGATGGTGGTCTCGGGCATCTTAGGTCATTCCATAATCCATCACTGCACGTATATAGTCCCTCCGTCCTATATGCACTCCCCAAAATGCCCTGAAAGTGACGGCAAGGGGATTTACCCTCCCTATTTCCAGAATGTGAGGTGAGATTCTTTGCCATTAGACTATAACTCTAATCTGACCATTCTGATTCACATATCTTGCAGACCATAGCCTTAATTGCAGTAAGAGAAGGTGTTGTTCAGTTAGGAGCGGTTCATAAGGTTCTCTCTCTCTCTTCAAACACATAGTAGTGGTTCTTAGATATCACTCTTTAAGTGGTACTTACATATACATGTTTTGTTATCATTCTTTGGTCTCTCTAGGTGGTTGAGGATTTGAGCTATATTGTGCTACTAAGAAAGAAGTTCAGCTACATAGAGAGCATCCCAGGAGTGCTATTGCCACATCCATCATCATCAGCTGCAGCAGCAGCAGCATCATCATACCCCTTCAAGATGGACAGCTATGGCGCGCCGGAAGCGTGGCACTTCCAAGGCAATCCTCCACCAGAATTATATGACAGGTTCAATCACTCCATGAGAATAACACCCTCCATGAGCAGCCTCGAAGCCCTACTCTCCAAGCTTCCCTCAGTCGTGCCACCGGAGCCATCACATCCCTCGTCGTCGGCCTACTTTGAGGCGCCCAATAGGGCTATGGAAGTGATGGGGGGGATGGAGAAGGTGGTGGCCAAGGAGGAAATGGATGGGGGTGAGAGTAGTAGCTCAATGTCTTCCTATCATCAACAGTATCAACATTTTAACCATGATCTGAATTTGAGTAACTGCAGCAGACCAAATAATGGATTTTGAGTGAGTGGTTATTATTATAGATGTCAGTAGATTATATATATAGGAATTGAATCATGGATTGAGGTCTAACATTGTAGCTTTTTTAATAGCTAGTTTCATTGTAGTGGCTGCTTTTGGCTTTCCTTGCCCTGTAAGCTCTCTTGAGTCTACTTTTAGTACATTTAATATGAAACTACTATTTTTGCTCTTTAAATGTGATCATATTGTTTTGCTGCTTCAGCTAGCGTGACTCAATGTGCTGATTGTGAGAGAGAGATTGTGTAACTAGAGTTTGCCAATAAGACCACCTCATTTTGCCTTTGTGTGAACTTGAATACTCAATTTTGCACAAGAAAAAGTATAGTAGATACGGTTACAACTTGAATACTACATTTTAGGATATGTGTTTTAGGCGTTATATTTTTGGTCGATACCAAAACATCTGTTTTGTTGTAAGAGTATTTTGGGTAAAAATCGGAACCATATTTGGTAACGAAATTTTGTTTTGAGAAATTCAAAAATTTACTTTAATTCATCTGCTATAATATCAAAACATACAATATCGTAATATGGGTTTTGGCCAAAAAATCTGATATGTTATGAACTATTACAAACTAATATCAGCCGTCCTTATAAACATGATATGGGCACAATTTTGAATATCAATATTTAAAAAACAATATCATAACACATGTCAAACAGGTCCTTACCTTTCACGATACAAAGTATAGGAGATACCAATCAACTATAACCACTTTTAACTTAAAAGGTACAAAAAATACATATCAACTAACGATAAGCACTTCGATAAAGGAGATACTAGTCCGCTGGAACCACCGTAAGTAACTAAATGAGTATTTTTATACCACCGAATATAGTATGGTACGATCTCTCTTTCCTAGGAAGCAGGTTGAGAGTTAAAGTACCATTAATAACTAAATATGTTATGGGTATAGATGTATATGACTTAACCTTCAGAAAAAATAAATAATAAAAAAAAATTACTAGTATAATAAAAGAAAAAGACTATTTTATCCCCCAAAAGTAGTGGATTTGTCCTTTGAGTCAATCAAGTGATATCGAGTTCAACTTGATCAACAACTTTCAGACTTCTTGTCCGAGCTTAATCATAATCATGGTTGAGGGTATTCAAGGGATTAATCATACTATTAGACTCCCATTAACAAAAAAAAAAAAAAACTAAAAATTAAATAGATAAAATTAATTAAATGGCTGCCTTGCATGTCAGAGAAAGCTTTTGACTCATGGGTTAGGAAAGAATATGTATAGTGGGACAAACAGTGGATGACCCCACTCACTGTTGAAATCAAGACTGTGCAGTGTACATCCGTGGTACCACCACCTTGAAAATGATGGGTACAACTCTAAAGCAGACAATTTGGCAATGATCCATGCTTGACAAGAAAAAAAAAAAAAAAAAAAAAAAAAACTACTGTACAAATGGACATTTTTCATTCTTGGAGGGATAGTTTCGTTGGAGTAACTAGTGTCCCTTACAGTTGCTTTGCTTGCCCAAATTAAGGTTGTTAGAACCGGGACCTTAAAATGGGGTCGGATCGAGGATAGTTTGGGTTATGAAATCTCTTCACAGTCCTCACTGTTTTTCACTAGCTATAATCAATATTTATCTTTCATTGAAACACATTTTTAAAGAAGTTTACGCAACTTAATTGATAATGTAAACCTTAATGACCGTCAATTTACAATTATGTTACATTTGGAATTACTAATTGATATTTTGAATTTAAAATTCTAATTTCAAAGCACTAATTAGGTACTTCCAGTCTTTTATTTTTTTTTTCCTTACAAAAATTATGTTTTGTATTACTAATTAAAATTAGTGTTTAGGGAAGTAAACCCAATAATTTGTAACAGAATCTACCAATCAATTCATATGCCATATAACAAACATCTTTTTTGTAAAATGCATAAAATCACCATAATATATATATATATATCGGATTTTCTATATATATATGATCTAGAAACAATCCTATGGTCCTACAGCGATTCTACCACAATCCTTCACAACTCAACATATTGTGAACTGTAATAATAAATAAACTAGACATATGCTGAATTTATTAATTAGTAGAACCATTAACCATTACTATAATTAGAACTATTTCAATTTCATGCATACAAACATCAAATAACATATACCGTTTCATAACATTTTAGTATGAGAAACAAATAGCATATATCGATCTGTTTCATGGCATTTACGCATTTTTCATATACAATTAAAGATCATTAGACATGTACTTCATGGCATTTTCGCATTTTTCATATACAATTAAAGATCATTAGACGGTACGCGTGGTGTTGAGAGAAGCAGATTGAAGATAGTCACTTGCCCAATTATTGATTTTATTTTATTTACTTTTACTTTTATATTTGTTTACCTAACACTTGTATAGTAGCAAAGAAATATCCTCCATAAAAGAACCATTGGACACTAAGGAAGGAAGATTTGGTCCATGACCCCAATCCTCTGCATAGTTGAGAAAGAAGCCTTCACCTCCGTATTCCAGTTGGGGATTTTGACATATTGATACCATTCATCGGGACCTCCCACACACAGAATATTATCCGTTTTGTGCTCAAACGATTTCCAAAACGTTTCTACACAGGTAGTGCGCATCCCCGTATAACAGGCACTCCCTTTCAAATAGTCCACACGAACTCTCCCACCATTTGAACCATAGGAGATCAAAATTCTACACGTTGAACGATAGAGCACACGAGTGTTCGTCTCCTCCTTAGAGGCCATAGAATTTGCATGTAGCATCAGTGACAACTTTTTGATGCCGGAGACTTGGCAGAACAAGCAAACGATCATGACAAACATTTTCCCAGAAGCATCTTACATAAGCCCATTGTATCAATGTTACAACTGCTTTCAACACCACCTCCCTCCCTGCAGAGGATGAAAACAATAATGCATCATTCTGACATCTTTCACAGCTTTAGCTTTGAGCCCAACTGTAAGTGCTGCATTATCGGAGAGAATCTGCTTCATTCTGACATCTTTCACGGTGTTAGCATTGACAAAACAATAATGAATCATCGACCAAAAAACAGTGACACCAGAGGGGAAAACTGACTACTTTTAACACCACTCAAAAGATCCCTTACATAGTACCCTTTCCTTTTACTGTTCTCCATCACCGTACACCACCAGTACCAACACTCTCTATATTGGGCATAGAATAAAGAGATGGTAATACGGCAAACAAAGAAATACTACAGGCTGGAATAGAGAAACACAACCTTAGCCTTCTGGAGTAGAGAAACACAATCTCAATTGATGGTATTCAGAAAATGAAAGAAATTCATATTTCGAATTTTTAACAACACTGTTCTTTTGTTGACCTCCAAATTCACAACAAAATAAATACAATAAGGTACTTCCAAGGTCACCCAAACACGAGAAATACGATAAGTTGATTGATCAGAAAAAACTTGATACATAATACATGAGAATTGTGGTTTCAAATAAACGTATTTAAATAATGCTTTCTACAAATAAACGTTTTTAATTATGGGTTAAACCTTTAAGTCATACAAATATCAATCTCACGGGTACCCATTTGCTTCTCCAGAAGCTCGTACCTAGTGAAAAGCTGCAACTTCTTCCTTGAAGTGTTCGAGCAGGTCCTTGATGTTCTTGACCGAATGGTCCGCCTTGTCTCTCACTCTCACACTAACCTGGGAACAAGGCGTAAAAAAAGGAGTTAAATCTCCAAAAGGATATTCCTGTCGATATAAACAGATTTTAGGAATCAAATAATTTGTATTCAAGCAAGCTGATAATAAGGACATAATTTAAGTATGAAGCATCTTGCAACAGTTCATCATATTGTCAAGCCACACATCTATTTTTTCTTTCCCTTTGTTAAATTTCAATGGTACTGTTTTTTTACTTTGTTACAACAGATATTCAAATATATTTAATCCAACTTTCTACATAACTCTGTCCCATGCACCAATTATCAATATATATGTTCATGTCCCAGTAGACAGACTAATAAAGGTACACACCATACACTAGGGCCACCAAGAAACTTCCAACTCTCCAAAAAACAAGGCACCATACGACACGATTTTGCTTCCACGCATATGGGCGAACCAAGAACCTTGTAAAGTTTTCTTAGAGTTCATGTGCACTAAAAAATACATAAACAATACATTCTCCGCATAAACTACACTCTAAAATTATTCACTTTTATCAACGTAAAAGGTCAAACCTGTCCAGTTTTGGCTTCCTCCTCACCAACCACCAATATGTAGTTGTACTGTGCCAACTGACCTTCACGTACCTGCAGAAGCCAAACGATAAGCAAGTTAATAACAGCACTAAAAGTACAAACAACTAGGGGAAGTGATATTAGCCCTATGACAAATCAAATACAACTCTACCTAACCCAAAGTTATTCAAAACCATTTACGGCTCCAACAGAATCAACTTGAAGCAGAGGTTATTTATTATTAATACAAAATCCACTAGAGAGAGAGTGAAAAATTAAGATCATTTGATCGATTCCTGCTAGGTGCGAACAATTCCTTGGAGGGGGGTGTGTGAGTAACCAACTAGGGGAAAAAAAAATTAAGATCTTTCGTGAAGACTTCAGACAAGCATCAGATAAATTGGGATATTTTGTAAAGACTTCAGACAAGCATCAGAAATGCTGTCAGCATTAAAAATTGAAATGGCAATCAGGATCCACCACTAAAAATCTTGACATAAGATTTCACAAAAAGAAACATAAATTGCACCATCACAAATACTCCATCCACTATTATAAGCAAGAACCATAAGATCAACAGAGCATTAAGGTAAGGTCCAGAAGATAGTTTCAATATACCTTTTTCTGGATTGTTCTATCACTTGTATCAACTTCAACATAATAACCCGCTTGATGAATCTGATCCCGCACCTACCAAAATTCAATATCATAAAACATTGTCAACCCTTTGTCTTCAAAAAGATGCACATAAGAAGAGACATAACAATGATGAAGATGACAAATTAGCATTTCTTCAGACCATTGCAGCAATTTATACAGTACTTTTCCTCTTTTTTCCTTCAAAGGGGAAATAACTAGGGAAAACAAAGGACCAAAACCTAAGTATTAGAGAGCAATTCTCACTCTAGAACATGATCAGTTTTCACTTAAAGAAACAAAATCCTAAAACTGCTAAAAGTAACTATCAACCCCACACACGTTTGTTATACGGGAAAAAAAAGCACCAATGTTAAGTATGGGATTCACTTACGTGAAAAGAATATATATATATATTAAAATTAAAAGCTGCAATAAATTAATTTATTAATTTAACAAATGGTACATGTGGCAAAATTTGCAAATTCCTTGCAGTGATTCCAGCTTATCTTAGCAACAAAAGAATATAGGATTTTGTGGATTCAGTTCCATAGCAGAGGAAGTCAATAAGCAGGCAAGATGTAATGTCAAATACAAAAATAACAGATTCAATAGAAACAGATGAAGATCCAACTTATTGGAAGCAAGACACCGTGTATCAAATAGACTCTAGTCCACAACGACTGAAACCAGGGAATAATAACATCTATATGCATCAGACCGTAGATTCCCAGGAAGTAAACAGTGAGCAATCAAATCATAAAACAGGTCAACCACTGAAGTATGCAAATAAATAATATTAAACCTGTAGTGCATATGGCTGTGATTTTTCTGACACAGAACAAACAATCGCATGACGTGGACTCAACCAGAAGGGCCATTTTCCCTTGTAGTGCTCCAGAAGTATAGCAAACATACGCTCAACCGACCCTAGGATGGCCCGGTGTATCATAACAGGCCTTTCCATTTTCTTTTCATCCTCAGCGGAGTAAGACAAGTTGAAACGGGACGGAAGTTGGAAGTCCAACTGTGATAACAAGCAATCATCCATTAAACCTCAATTATGTCACAGAACAAAAGATAGTAAGTAAACATGTCTAACCTGCAATGTTGCACACTGGAATTTCCTATTCAATGCATCAGAAACACTGATATCAATCTTTGGCCCATAGAATGCACCATCACCTTCATTTATCTGTACGACATGACTCAGAAAGTAAGTTTACTAGGACATTAAGATAACAAAAGAGGGAATATATAGAGACAATAATCGATTATGTAATAGCACCGGGTTATGCCTAAATTAGCCAATCACATACATATCCAAACTGTTTCCACTAGCATTCTCAAGATATCCATATTAATTGCTTTTATTTAGATGGTCAACACTCAACAGGTAATTGTTTAAACATTTAGAAACACTAAGGAAAGTCTAAGCAGGTTAGGGTTTTCCACTTGCTGATTGCTCCACCCTACAAGAGCACATATGTGATTGCATATTCAAGTGTAAGTCTAAGCAACATATTTGTTGTCTTTGAAGTAATTATCCATTACATTGTTAATTAACATTTGGACAGATGAATTGAGGCTGGCAAGCATGCATCCCATATCCTAATCCCAACTTGAGCATGCCTCATGACAGGGACTTCAAAAAAGATTAAGGTAAGACTAAAGTTAACACTAAATTTATCCTTCTAGAGAAGTCTGGCCACAGCCCAGCTCAATCCAGTAACATGCACCCCCAAAGATTCCACTTCATTACAAGTATTAACATTTATTTTTCCCAGGCTTGGTCTTATTTCAAAGGACCAGATACTGAAGTAGAATTACAGTTCTTTAATAAACATACTTTCAGTTTCTAAAACTAAATTTTTTTTAAGCTATAATGATCTATAAATCTTTCACAAAAATTTGTTCTTTTAAGAAGCAAAACATTTTATTACAGAAAAGGTACAAAAGCAAAATACAGCAGTATGGCACTCACAAGTTCCATGAAATGTTAAAGCTTTTGCTTGGTCAGTTCACCTTTAATAACTGCTCTTGATCTGTGACTCTCCAGTTGGAGTCATAGGGTCTTCGGGCACGTTTTCTTGTAAGTTATTTTTCTTCATCCTTTTTTTTTTTTTTTCATGTGCACAGTATTAAATCTTCCCAAGCTGCAGAAGCATTATGGTTCTCGATGTGCATCATGTGATTCATGTCAAGGAATAATAGGGAGGCTATCAGCAATTTATACATTTGTGGCCCCTATTGTAGTAAGTTGCCACAAAATATATTCTCCTTAGGGTGGGAAGAGTTGCCCCACTTTATGTCAGTTCTATGATGAAAAGATCATTATTGGAAAGAATAAAAGATGAGATACAAGATCACTCAGTGAACTATTAAGACTCCTTTGCTCTTTGTATGAGGGTATGAAGAAAGTTCAACATTACCATTGATATATTCCTTGTCCCAGGGAAGCATCAACTCAACTTTAATACTCCACAGCTATGTTAAATGGACTACTAAAAAATATGGGAATTTTTTTTTTTGTTAAGTAAGAATTCATTAAAAGTGTTCAAAAGGGGAATGCATCCCTCAAAAACAACAGAAGGCCAAATAGGGCCTCTAAAATTCTCCCTAAAACCCAACAAAAAAGAGTGCTAAGAATGGAGAATTTCAACGACCCAATAGGATTTTCCTTTCCTTTAAAGGATCCCCTATTTCTTTCAACTCTCTTATTATGTTTCTTTTGTTATGCTAATGCTTTTATTATGTTTCTTTGTTATACTGATAACATTATTTTAACTTAGAAAATAAAAATAAAATTATTAAATAATATGCATATCTAGCCGTGCTTGTGTCATCGATTTTGGATACTTGATAAACCTGATGCTTAGACACATACCCACATCCAACCCATGTATCTTTTGTCCATGTAACATAGTTCCACAGCAATATGCGCTAGGGGTGCACAAAGTACCAGTGGAACCATTAGGAACTGGGACCGGTGCTTTGGTTCTGGTTCCGGTTCGGAACTGGTTCTTATTTGGAACCGTTAAGTTACAGTTCCGGTTCCATGTGTGCACCCCTAGGCCAAATAAAATTTGGTGGTAATTTCATTTTCAAAATTCAAGGAACTGTAAAAAAAAATTTCCTTGCTGGGGCTGGATGAATCAATCTATCAAATCTGAAAGAAGATGCAAGTTTTATAAATTAAGTGAAGAGCAAATCTCAAGCTTCTGGGAAGCATGCTTATCTTATGTATCATTTACATTTCATTTCTCAGATGAGGTATATATAACCTTATCATTTGGTTCACTTTCTACTAAAGAGGCGGGAAAAGTTCTAAACCAACACACAATCAATTGATTAGCAGAGTTATGGGGCCATTTCAATCCAATCCATGGAAATTTTCTAAACCAACAGACAATCAATCGAGAACTTGAGTTTGTCTAAACTGCCAAGGGAATGGGTATGGGATGTGTCTGACTCTTTTGGTTGGACATGCACTTAAAAAGCATATCCAATAGTTCAATTTTGTTGCATTATTACTTCAATATTGAACACTATGTTAAAGAAAGAAACTATTTTCTTTAGAAAAAAAATTAAAAATTTTAAAAAATATGAATATGTAGCAGTGTTCATGTATCCTGTTTGGGGATTTGACACATCCGACACGTGGATTCATACCCGCACCAGATGCATGTACCCTAGTCATGTAACATAGAATGGTGTACGACGCACAAAACTGCATTCTTGAAGCCTGATCACCACGTGATTACAGGATTCCTAAAACTAAGCTTCAGATAATATTCATAACATCTGAAAACGGATGAATGATGGAATTTCAATTATAGTTCAAAATGGCAAAAAAAAATACCAAAGATCTAGTGATATTAACACACCATGTAGTGATGAGATCTTACATCCACATTTCCAAACTTGTCAACAAGCAACAAAAAAGAAAAGGTGAATGTAACAAAAGAAAGCTTCAATGTTGGGATCAGATAATTGTGTAATTTACCTGCCATGGCTTCCCAAACTCATTTAATGCTTCTGTAAGAGCAGCTTCTGCTTTTTCCCATGTTTGTAAGTCTCCAAGATATTTCTCTGGCCTCTAAAACACAAAACACATGTTACATAATAAATAGGATCGAGAGAAAAGAACTAAAACAAAAGGCTACTACTATAAACTGCACATGCCCCAAGAGATTCTATAATCAATAACTTGGAACTGATTAAGATTAAAGACATTGCTTGAAACATTTCTAGTTAAATGAACCAACAAGAAGAATGTTTATTAAAAAACATAAATTGCAACAACCAGATCATTTAAACTATAGCCTCAAGCAATCCACAAAAGAATCTCCTTAGATTTACAATTAGAGTCTTGTACCCAGATTGAGTTAAATCGGTATTCACTAGGAAATTTAAATACCTACCGATGAGATTGAATCAACATTTTTGTATCAGTTACAATTTACAACCATTAGTACATCCACACACTTGCCAATTGCGAAATATCTCTCAGTTATTCGGAAACAACCAGTAAGAAGAAATAGGATGTTCAGTTTTCCTGTAGCTCAATTGCTTACATTAATCAGAATGTTGATTATATTAAAAGTCAGTAAGGATAGCCAGAGTGAATTCAAAAGGATCATACAATACAATTAGGTAGCAGAGAAAAATTAAAGTATAAAAAAATAATTTTTATTTCTATAATTACAAATTAAATGGATGATGTAAACCACATACTACTTCGGATCAACTGGCTACAAAGTAAACACTAAAATTATTATTATTATTTTTTTTTGATAAGTAATAATCGATTAGAAAAGCATTTAAAAGGAGAATGTGTCCCTAATACAAAAACAGGAGCTGAACCTAAGGACCTATAGAGTCCAAAAGATCAACTAAATCATCAGTAGAGGAGCAGGTGCTTCCTTTCACATAACAAAAAATAGAGCGAAGAATATGAAGTTTCAAGGTCGCCAATGGCAATTCCTTTCCTTCGAAAATTCTGCTATTCCTCTCTCTCCATATGCACCACCAAACACAGTGTGGAAAAATCCTCCAATAATCGCGAGCGTGGCTTCTCACTAGGCATCCTCTCCATGCGTTAATCAATCCTTTGGAAGACTGAGGCATTACCCAATGTATGCCAAATAAGCCGAAGATGAGGTTCCAACAATCATACGCCACAGGACAGTGCATAAGAATGTGATCCACAGACTCACCATCTCGTTTGCATAGACAACACCAATTAACGATAGTATTGCCTCTCTTCCTCAAATTGTCCAACGTCAGGATCTTACCCTAGACGGTAGTCCAAACAAAGAATGCTGCTCTAAGTGGAGCTGCGGTTCGGTTTGCTTTTCTAGTTTCGTGGTTCAGTGATGGTTTGAAATATTAGTAATCCGTAGTGGCCAGATCGGTTAACGAATTGAATGCTGAAAAAACCGAACCGATCAATAAATTGATCTGTTCAATTTATATATATATATATATATATATATATATATATATATGGAGCATTGAATACAAAAGAGAGTCTGGGAAAATTCAAAGCCAAATGACAGGCCATGTACAAAAAGCCTATGACACCATTTTTTTTTTTTTTTAACAAAGCTATAAGCCATGTGCAAAAGTTTAGAAGTGTACATAAAAAGTAAAAAAAAAACAAGATGCCCCACCCACTAGTCAAGCAAGCGTGCGCCTTCAATAGATGCTCCTCTCCTACTTGCCTTGAGCTTGGTACCGGGTAGTGAAGATTGCAGCGAAATTTTCACTTCTTCATATCAGTTTCTTTCATTTTAAAGTACACACTCTCACATAGGAGAGTTGTCTCTCATCAGCCAAAGCTAGAGTACAGCAGATCTCATTTCTTCTCCGGCAAAACTTTTTTCTTCTTTGGTCTTCTCCGGCAAATCTACTTTCTTCTCTGGTAAATCAACTTCACAACAGGGCAAATATTCTTTCTTCTTCAACAAGTCTTCTTCCTTCTCTACTCATGGCAGCATCGTCGACCTCCGATCTATTGAAAACGTGCAATCCGTAAAACCGAACCGATCCAATCCGTTATTTCACGGATATAACGGATTGGTTTGGTTTGGTTCGGTTCGAGTATTCACACGGATCGGTTCGGTTTCACAATTTACCAATCCATTAGAGACCGGATTGGATTACCTTTGACCCCTAATCCGAACCGTGATCAGCCCTAACGAAAAGGACCTAAATTTAATACCTTTAAGGTTTTTCATTATATTGTAGACACCATATCTATGCGAACAAAGCAGTGAAAGAATAAGTACATTAGTGCTACAGGAATCACCATAACCGTACTATATGCCACTCCTACACTTGAATTAAAGACTAATAACTTTAAGCATAAATGAGGACATTATGATTTTACCGTTGAGAGCTTCAAGTCAAAAGTGAAGCCAAATATATCATATATGTAACTGATGAATTCTAACACACCCCTGACTTCATCTTTTATCTGAAAAAGAAAGCAAAACATTGATATTATGCAAATAGAAAAAGAAAGACGTTACAGTCATTTGCCACATTTCAATAAGTTCATCTCACCTGGGACTCCCTGCAGAAGATATGTGCGTCATCCTGTAGCATATCATAGTGTCAGAAAAAAGTAGCTTCGACCATCCACAAGATAGTACTAGGGAGATAGAGAAAACATAAAGTTAACAAATTGAAATGTTCCCAGCACAGACCAGCTAGGTCCAAAAAAACTGACATTGAGAGTAGCAACCCCTGCATCCTTTATTCTTTCAGACAAATAAACTAAAGACTACACTAGTCAGTTGAGACTTTTTCTGACACAGTAAGAGCAAGTAAATTGAGGCAGTTAGTAATTTAGGACCTGTATGGTTCAGTTTTCTGAGAATAGTTATCAGTTCTTTGAGAACAGAAAAATTAGAAGGAAAAAAAAAAAATGCTGTTTCGGTGCAGGCCGCAAGAGCGGTACCAAATCGAGGCAAACCATTGACAGTTTCTTAAAACTATTTTCTGAAAACTCAGTTAAAAAAAGGCCCGTCTTCAGAGAAATAATTTTCATAATCGCTATAAGCAGTTTTCTACTTTCTATTTTCTGAGTTCTCGAGAACTTTTTTTAGAAAACTGAACCAGACAGACCCTAACAACTGCTGAAATTAGCAACTAAAATTAACAACTACATTCCATTAATATGGGAGGTCAGAAAACTAGGAAAATACCATCGCCAACACCAACATAACTCTTATTCAAAAAAATGCCGTATATGAACCATCACAACTAAAATAGAATACCTGCTGAAATCTCCTGACACGAGTTAACCCAGTAAGTGCACCACTGGCCTCATTCCGATGCAAGACTCCAAAATCAGCCAGACGGAGAGGGAGTTCTGCAAAATTATGCATAAAAATCAAGATGCATATAGAGCAAATGGACAACATGGTACTGCTAGATATAGCAAAACAAACAATAATAATAATAATAGTAACATGGTACTCCTCTATGTTGGGGAAGTTGGACCATAAACATAAAAGACAATGAACCACTACAATCGCAATCCAGGAAAGATAACATCCATAATATACAAAAGCAAACACCAAACAGTCACTATAATTGTAACCCATGGAAAATAACATTCATAGTTTACAAAAGCAAACAATCACTAGACAAAAGCTGCTCACATTGACCCCACCAAACAACATGAAGACATAAATCCAGATCAACAACTGGTTTAACTTTTTAAGTATTATGAGTTGAAAAGAATACTGCAGTTAGCATATAAAAGAAACTCATCAGCAACTCTTGATGAGCCTCTTTTCGCCCATGACAGTGATCTGGTGCCAGTTCCTGAATCTGCTATTTTCCAATTTATTTTCTAGAGAAAACTCCTCCAGCTAGAGACAACCAGAAGAGTAGCACATATTCCATCCAAAAAAAAAAACATGATTTACCATACAAAAAGGCCAAAGAAAAACTCAAATTTTCCTACTGGAGAAGGGGTAAATGCGGTTTTAGCAATTTATTTCTAGAAGTGTGTTGCAATTTAAAACAGATAATAAAGCCTATGACTTGCAAGTAGTAGGAAACATGATACATTCACAAGTACAACAGCAAACATTAATATGAAGAGAGATAACAAAAGCAGACGGATAGCAAGTCAAAGTAAAAAAAGAACTTCAATAGTGGGCTAATTCATGAAGATGGTGTTTTTTCGGCTAATTCATGAAGATGTTGTTTTTTCGGCTAATTCGTGAATTCAACAAAACTCCAAATTTCCCACGGTTTGAGTTGACATTAAATTTGAAAGGTCTGAATTTTTAACATTCTTTAAAGCTTGGCTGACATTTCATCAAATTAATAAAAAATCTAAACAGCCTTTTTCCAGGCTTTGAAATCCAAAAAATTTCCAAATTCGGCCAAATATTCAAAATTTGTGGCTGAATTTTTTAAGTCATGTCGTACTAAATGAACTTGGAAAACCATTCTACAAAAATTTCTATAACTTGTGCATATTCTGTAAATTTTGAACCATGATTGAAAGGAAATATTTATACACAAAAAAAGCTGAGCTCTTGGCAAAAAATGATTCAGATAATAGATCCTTGTTTAGTAAAAGGTGTAGTTGTGTATTTAAAGACCATCTGCAAGAACAAACTCAAACCAAGTAACACCAATACATGTTAAGAGAAACAACCAATTAATTGATATTTTGACTACTTCCTATCAGCCTTCACACACCACTCAGAAAATATCTAGTTAGTTTCCAATTCATCGAGTGGCCTAAAAAAATCTAAGACAGCATAATTTGCTAATGATCATGCGCAAGAGGGAAGAATTGGAGCATATGAATTTTGGGAAGGAAGTGAAGAAACAGGATCAAAGAATGCACGCCACCATTAAGTTCTCTTTACGAGTTAGTGGAACACAAGAGGACTTTATTGAAAATTCAAGGAGTCTGAGACAAGGATTCATCATCACTTTCCAGTTCATCGTTGTAATGGAGGCTGATTCATCATCACCTTCCAGTTTATCATTGTAATGGAGGCTTTGAGCAGGACGATTGGTAGAGCGGATGACGGAGGCGTGTTGAGGGGTTTTTCAGTGTGAGCAGTGACGAGGGTAGCAGTCTCAGTTTTCCATCTCTTGTTCGCAGATGACGCCATTTCCTATGGGGCAGAGAAGAATTATTTCTCTCTAGTGGCTTCTTTTATGTTTTGACACGATATTGTAAGTCAAGATGAAAACGGTGCACCATCCTACTAGCAAGGTAGAGAATTTGGTGGGTTGGGGGAAGTTTTGGATTTCAGGATCTGGTTCCAACCTCTGATTTTGGCATTCCACTTGGATCATCTTCTAAGGCTAAATAAATTCAGATGTTGAGACAGAACACTTGGAGATGATATTGGCTAGGTAAAACTAACAATACCTATCAAATGAGGCAAACTCACACTCATAAAAGCACTTTCAAGGCCTGCCTCATAGTTTATGTCAATTTTTCACAGATGCTGAGAAATTGTAAAAGATCCATATAGATTTCTCATTAAGAAGAATGAACAGTTCAAACATTGTTTGGTTGACTGGGATAGAGTGCGTTAGCGTATTCGGGGCGGGGTCTTTAGCAAACTTTAGACTCTTCAATCAGCTATATATGGAAAGTGGTTGTGGAGGTATGTTGTGGAGAAGAAGAATTTGAGGATGGTGAAGGGAAAGATTAGGAATGCAGGGTCAACTTCAAAAGAAACCACAAGTTTGTAGGATGATGTTGTGGAAGGGCATTAGAGAGGGTTGGGAGGAGTTCTACCATGACACGGTTTATGTTTTGAGCACCTGGGCAAGTGGTATGATGTGTTGTCTTAGGGAGGTCTTCCTCGCTCTTCAGAATTGCTGGGTTGTTTCAAACAGAAATGCTTTTGTTGCAGGGTATATTATGTTTACAGAGAGAGAGTCGTGTGAAAGCCAGATCCGTCAGGGTAGTTGCAATGTTGATCATCGTCATTATAATGCAATTTTACAAGGGACTTCAGGAGTTGTCTTTTCTGGCTTTCTAGGTGTTGGCCTAGGGGGTAGGCAACCGCTTAGTCTTGCAACAAACATTTATCTGGAGAAAAACAGATGCACTTCTACAGATGAATTCCATACTTAAAAGCTTGATTCTGGACCATGCGAGCTGATATTTCTACTGGAGGAAAAATCTGGGGAAAAGCATAGAGCATGCAGGCTCCGCTCCTTGCAGCCATCTGAAGGAGATATCCTTATTCTCCATTTTCCATTGTGGAATTCATAGGGTATTTAAACTTATCATGAGACACCACTTCAGTGCTTTTTGAATATATTAACACGCATTTGTCTACAAAATAAGTTAGATTATAAGCTATATAAGTGAAATATTCAATTAAAATTACATAAGTAGGTACACAGGTAAACCCACCTCTGTATGAACGAACTCTATGGTCAAACATTAGGCAGTGACCAGGACAATTCATCGGCTTAAGTCCAAACTCTTGATTTTCGACCTGCCCCAAAAAAATATTATTATTATTATTATTATTATCATGTCACGGGAAAAAAATGATACAAGAACTTTGGAAAAGAAAAAATGATCCACAAAAAATGAATATGATGAAACCAATCTTTTTCCAGGCAATATACAATCAAGGTTCCATTACATTATAAAGTTTAATCAAGGTTCCGTTACCTTATTAAGTTCTAATTGAAGTAACCTGTTTTTACAAGATGCAACAATTACCAAGTAATGGAACATAAAAATGTGGTGTGGGTGGTAGTGGTACTAAGACATGTAAGGTTGCATGGACTGGGTGGGGTTTAGAGAGGTGGGATTTCTTACAGGGCCATCTATGGAAGAGCATTATGAGGATAAGGAGATTCATCCAAGCATCTTTTCTTAATGCAGGGAAATGGACCAAACACCATTTTCGCATAATGTTTTGTTTGGAAAAATTCAAAGACTTCTAGAATTACCGTTAATGAGGAAACTGCAGTTGTGGAGTTTGCTTCGTCCTTGAGTGAAGGTATGATTTGAACTCCTACCTATAGGAGAATTCTAGGATTTAGTGGTGGACGCAGTGGATGGGCTGCGTGAGATGAGATATTTTTCAAAGATCTCAGAAGACTATCAGATGGAAGGGATCCCATATCAGGGAATTCAGTGTTAGATCCTTCTACAAGGTTCTCTCTGAAAAAACCAAGAGAAATTACCTTGAAAGAGTATCAATAACACAATATTCCCCTTAAGACTCGGGCTTTTCACTTGGCCAGAAGTGTTAAGAGGCTGTTCTTACAATTGACAACTTGAAGCATAAAGTATACAGTATGGTAAACAGGTGTTGCATGTGCAAAAGGTTGTAGATTGTAAATCATCTTCTTTTATATTGCAGATTTTCTACTGAAAGATGGGACCTACCTTAACCGTGGGGTTATGTGGTGATGATAGAGATGGTTGTAGATATGTCAAGGAATTAGAAATGTAGATGCCACTGGCTACGGAAGCATGGGATTTAGGTTAAAGTCAGGACAATTTTTGGAGCATTAGGTAGTATACTGTATTCTCCTATTGATTTTCGACGGGAGGTGAGCCTGTGCTCTTGATTCTGTAAAGCTTTGTACACCATGCATAAAATGACCGCATTCCCCTTTTCAGTGTTTAGTGTTGGACTCAGTGGATGAGCCGCTTGAGATGATATAGTTTTCAAAGATCTCAAAAAGACTATCAGATGGAAGGGATCCCATATCATGGTATTCAGTGTTAGATCCTTCTACAAGGTTCTCTCTGAAAAAACCAAGAGAAATTACCTTGAAAGAGTATCAATCGCACAATATTCCCCTTAAGACTGGGGCTTTTCACTCGGCCAGAAGTGTTAACAGGCTGTTCTTTGAAGCATAAAGTATACAGTATGGTAAACAGGTGCTGCATGTGCAAAAGGTTGTAGATTGTAAATCATCTTCTTTTATATTGCAGATTTGCTACTGAACGATGGGACCTACCTTAACTGTGGGGTTATGTGGTGATGATAGGGAAGGTTGTAGATATGTTAAGGAATTAGATATGTAGATGCCACTGGAAAAGGGCTATGGAAGCATGGGATTTAGGTGAAACTCAAGACAATTTTTGGAGCACTAGGTAGTTTACTGTATTCTCCTATTGATTTCCGAAGGGAGGTAAGCCTTTGCTCTTGATTCTGTAAAGCTTTGTACACCACGCATAAAATGACCGCAATCCCCTTTTCAGTGTTTTTGGGTGGAATTCACCTTCCTTAACCCACTCAAAAAATAATAATAATAAATTAAAATAAAAAACAGAGATGGCATATCAGGACAAAAGGTTGTCCCACGCCTTAAAGAAGAGGGTGGTAGCAATGATAGCTGGTTTTCAAGTTTAATGAGGATCAGGCCTCAATAATACTTCACTTGGAGTCAATATAGTTGGAATAGAAAGAAAAAATGGTTGTGAACTTGCCATGAATATACTGTTCTAGTAGTGTTTCTAAAAGCACAAAAGGTACCATGCAAAGTTAAGCGTCCTGAGTTCACCAAGTTTTGGATGGGCTACGGCTAATTCTAAGCACCATGGAAGAAAAAAGAGGATTAACTTATGAAAGAAAGGCAGCATCTATATAACATTTACAGGAGGTTGGTAGCGGATGGTGTTGAAAAAAAACACCATGGAGGACCTAGATGCAGCTCATAACCTTAACAGAAAACAAATTCAAAGGAGATAAATCTTACAAGTTAGTTCGGTTTCAAGGGCAGCTCAATTGGAATAATACATAATTATTTTTTATATGTAAAAAAAATTAGCTGTCGTGTAGCAAGTGATAGCATGCTTAATTACGTTTTGAATCACAATGAGTCTTATTTTATTTTTTTCTTTAAATTAATAAATTGTTGCTAGTTGAATTCCATTTTTGTATTTCTATGACTAACTTATCATTGACATTTTAGTGATCTTCAAAAAAAAAAAAATTTGACCAAGGCTTTGACATTGTTTTTTTGGTTTTTTTTTCTTTCTCTTTTTTTTTTTTTTTAGACAAGTGGTTTTATTAGTTTATTTCTTAGCTTCCAAAACACACAAGCAGACCTTTTGTCTTTATAATTTTGTAAAACCTATTTAAAAGCCATCCATCACACCTTTTAAGCATTCAGTTTCAGCACCATTAAACTACAAACCGCTAAAAGTTGTTACTTGTAAGTAATGTTCATAGCCGCAGAATAGCCCCAAATTTTGCCTTGCTTTGTAATAAGTAATAATGCCCAAAATCATATCACATCTTTACACCATACAAAACCAAAGACTCCACATCTTACCAACCTTCAGCCACAAATCAACTAATTATAATCAGCCTAAAAGCCTTTTTAGCTTTAACAATATTAAATCTTGGTGCCAAAGAACGTAGAAGACCATTTATATGCGCTTCCTATATCAGTCCCTAATTATTAAGCATTGTGCCACGTATATTCTTCCATTATAACGTGTAAATGTTTCATCTTCTTTTCATTTCTCAATTGTACGTATTTCACATAGAAATGAAGTGTACCTTTTCAAAATAAATATATAAGCTCTAAATGATGCAGTGTACCCATAAAGAAATTGTCTTACATATTTTGTTTACAATTACATGGGTTGAATTTGCTTAATCTTCAGAATACAAATTAATCGGTTTGAAACACATTTCTACTTAAGTCCCCAATATTTTTTAGGTCATGTTATCTCCACAACTACTGCCCTGTTGGGTAACTACAAGTAGAACTAATATAAGTCGCCACTTAGTTTGTTGGAAAGTTTGTTTACTTTGTAGCCCAAGGCAGTCTTCATTCAAACCCAAAACAAATAGCAGGCACACACAAAAATGTAGCAATGATGGAAGAAGCATTGAGAAATAATTTGAATGTCCAATAGCTCTCATTAACAGAATTATATTCGCAATTTTAACCAAAGAAAAACTAACCTCAAACACAAACATATTCTCCTTGTAATTTGCAGCATGACCAGAAGTTTCCCAGAGTTGCATGTTATACATATTTGGTGTCAAAACCTGCCAAAATCCAGAACCAATAAATACTCATATTTGGTGGGAGTCCTATACTTTTGCAGTACAGCAACTTAAGATATAGACCGCTAACCTCTAGGTAACCTCTCTCCCTATATTGAGTTCGTATAAAGTCCATCAACTTATTGTATATTCGGGTACCATGTGGAAGGAAGAACCAACTTCCTGGGCTGTGTATCATACAAGATGGTACTGGTGGATATCATGGACAATCTTGAATTCAAAGTAATGTAAATTGATTTAAACTCATACCTAAGCGGGTGATTAAAGAAAAGCTCCTGATCTCTACCCAATATTCGGTGGTCATATTTCTTTACTTCTTCCAGCCAAGCAATATATTCCTGCAATAATGGTATTTGTAGCATACTAGCAAGTGAATAATGTCATTTAAAAGCAAGCACATCACATGTTAAGTGGCAAGACTTTTCAGCCTTGAAAAGACAGAGATTTGCCATCCGCATTAATAAATTCCAAGTGAAAAGATTAATTCAACCATGAAATGCAAGTTAATTTTAGGAATTAACCTCAAGCTTGAAGTCATGTTCTCAAACTTCATAAAGGTATAAATGGGGCATGAGACATCTTTGATCTTCACCTTTGATATGCTCACCAAGGTTAACTCTCTCTCTCTCTCATGCAACTATCAGCTTATATAAATCATTTTCGTGTTTTAAAACTGCCCATCACCATTTTTTCCAAACACTGAATCTCTTGCAAGCCAAAATACTCCATTTCCAAGTTTCTCTCCTTTTAAAAAAAAAAAAAAAAAAAAAAAAAAAGAACTCCCTCCCTCTGTTGTATACATCAATCAGCTTGATTCAATCAAACTCGTGTTTTGAAACTTCCCATCACCAAGTTTTCCAAATACTTTTTTTTTTGATAAGTACCAAGTTTTCCAAATACTGAATCACTTACTCTGCAAACCAAACTATTCCACTTCCAAGTTTCTTTCTTTTTTTAATTTTTGAAAGGAACACAAAGATTAGAGATAAGGATAAGGTTGTGAAAGACTCCACAGCACTAGGATTCACTCAATTGAGTTCCCTCATGCAATATTACTCTAGCTAGAGGTCATTCCATCAAAATTCTAATTTTAAGTGATAATACGAAACAAAATTTAAACACTCCCTAACAACAAATCCATTTTCACACTGAAGCGAAAGGTGCCTAGAACAATTTGGTATGCCACATACTTTTAAGAATAGGAAGAAAGGTTCGGTGGTAGGGGCTGTTAGGAAGAAGTATCATGCATTGTCATTTTCAGTGAACAAGCATGTGCCGTGGTCTATAGTGTTGTGTCACTTCAATGAAAGGTTCACATTGGTATCGATATTGAAGTTGTGGTTGTAGATTGAAGATTGATCCAAAAGATAGCATCTATGTTTTGCATAAAGCTCCATCAATCACAATTTTAAAAAGGCAAGTAACCTAAAGACCATGGGATTTGGAATTATTAATTAATAATTAAATTGATCTAGAAAGTTCCTTATTGATCTCTAAAATTTCATTAAAGTTTGTTTATAATCAGTAGTTCAGTAAACTAATTTGAAATTAATTTAAGCTTAACTGTGAAGTTAGAAATTGAATGTTATTAAGTTGCAAACGAATTCAGAAACTATAATATCGGATAGAAAGCTTAGATTTTGAGTTTGATTTGAAAACCAAATTAAAAGCTTGATTTTGGTAAGAATTTCAAGCTGTGAAACTGACCTTTATGCATTCAAATTTTCATTAAAAAAATTTACTTGGAATCTCGTCGAGGAGATTTATAGTTTCAGAAACTAGACTCAATAAGCTTCCCGATAATATATTATATGCCAAATTGCATCTATGAAACCTAGACTTCGATTGATCAAACTCATTCTATGGAGCTACGATCAAAGCCTCGATCGAGTGAATATCAGTCAGTCATCAGTGGAGTTGTTTGAATCGATCGAAATTGGCTTGGATTGCTCAGTGAAAGCCCATAGTCAATAAAAGATGTGTTTTCAAATCAAAAGAGGGCTCTGAACTTTCCAAAACTCGCTTAAACAATTCCTAATCTAATCAATCTCTAGTCTCCAAGAAGAAACGCGTAGAAGACACAATGAGCTTTATTTTTTTCATCCCAAGTAAGGTTTTCATACCAAAAAAACTGTTAAGTGATTAAGTTCTAAAGTAAGAAGCTTCATTAAAGTGTTGAAAATTGATCAACCAAAACTTCTATACATTTGAAGGTGTCCAATAGAGGAGATCAATCACAAGTGGAAGAGCAACTCATGTGTTGAAAATAGCAGCAGAATCCAAGGAGGAACATCTGAAATGAGCCTAGATTCAAGGTAACTAGGTGTTTTCATGGTTTTAGAAATTATCTAGAGAGTGGATTTGATCGGCCTGGAGTAGGTCCCGTGATTTTTTCCCTTCGGAGTTTTTCATGTAAATCTTTGTCTTTAATTTACTTTATTGCTTTATGATTTGGACTTTTGATTGGTGATGAATTAGAAGGGCATGATAAATTGGCTTAAATTAGTTTAAATTGAAAAAGTGTCTGGAGGCACTGTTCTTAGAAACCATATTAGCCAATTAAGCAGAAAAAACTGATCTGGAGGCACTGTTGTTAAAACACATATTAATCAATTATGCAGAAATAACTTATCTAACAAATAAAAAAGTTCCTTCTTGGATAGAAAGGAGCCTCTCTTAGATTCCATGGTGTCACTCTACTTCCCATGAGCTACCTTAGCCGCTGTTATGAGCTGATATATTTAAGGTTGCTCTTTTAGCATTACAAGTTGTATTTCCTGTTAGGGTCTCTGCGTTTTTATGACAATTATAGTTCAATCTCTTTTTTTTTTTTTTTTCTTCTTTTGTCTCAATGGATTCCTCATCCTTCTCAGCCTTTGTGTCCTTTCCCTCTAATAAGATCCTTTCTTTATTATCCCCGAAAGAAAGGAGAATGGGTGAAAATTACCTTCAAGCTTTTTTTATCAGGATATGATATCCCATAAACTCTTTGTAAGCTTTCACGATCTTTATTCCCCCTCCAATAAGCTGATGAAGCCTGAATATTTCAAATGCAGAAGAAACAATCAAAATAAGTGCAAAATACAAATTTGCTGCATTCCAATCAGTACTACTACTGTACACAAATCACCTTTAAACAAGCAAATGCTTTAACAAAGGATGTATTTGGTATGTGTGGTCCACGACACAAATCAACTAAGGGGCCACATCTGTATACTGTGATAGTTTTGTCTTCTGGTAATTCATTGATAATTTCAACCTGATAGAGACAATAAAAAAGAAATTAATTAATAATATTGTCAATTATAATACAAACATGAAAGATAATTAACAGAACATACATTCTTTATGATGTAAAAATGAAGTTTCACTTACCTTAAATTTATTTTCAGAAAACATCTCAAGAGCCTGCTCCCTTGATACTTCTATGCGCTCAAAAGGTTGTTTTTCCTAGACAAAAAGCATATCAAGTAACTTGCATTATGGATGAATCCTTCTCAATACATGTAAGACTCTAGGGAAGATCAATATGTTGCTTATTGCATTAAAAAGAAGAAAACGAAGAATATCGCGCCACTTCAACATTGTTAAGATCTTACATTTATTGATTCAGTCCTCAGTCAAATCAATATAAAAAAGAAATCTACAATTATATTATGAATCTAATGCTTGATGAGTTGACGTCGTATAAAACAAAAAGATCACACTAAACAACCAATTAGGTATGAAACAGTACAAATGAAAGAAGTTGGTGCCTAAATATGCTGCAAATATCACCCCATCAGACATTTCAAGCAAACCTAGCACAATTCAACAAGATTCCACTAATCCTCCGAAAATAGTGCAGCTCAATGAAAAGAGTTGACGGGCTAAGAAGTGTAGGACACACAAAACCCTCTGTCAGCTTTATTCCAAGGGAAGATCATGACATTTCGTCAGAACCATGGGAAAGTAAATTAAAAAAATGCCGTTGGGTGTGTATTTGAGAGAGAGAAAAAGAGAGCATGCAGTTGAAATAGATGTTGAAGGATATATTTATGTTGCACCCTCTATAACACCTTAAGCTTTTGGAGTAGATGGTTGTTAACATTTTTTTTTTTTTCACAAAGAGTACATGCATTCCTATGAGGAATTAAATATATTATCCTTATTGAGAAACAGTGGAAAATTTCCAGAAGTGAAAGAAAAATTAAATTATCCCGACGTATGGAATAAGTTCATCCATATAGACCAGTGAAACTAAATCCCAAATAGTAATTGGCATATACTTTTTGACAAAAAGAATCACTTGTACATTTCAAGCTTCAAGACAACACAAGAAAAGTTTCTGTATAATTCAGCAAAGTCCAGTCCATAGCCCACAACGAAATAATCTGGGCACTCCAAGCCACAATAAAACTTCACTTTACCCACAAGCTCAAAGTTAACCTTTCATCTTGTTGGTTTATCAAGGAGAGTGCATATAGATATGGATCATGCTCCTTTAGATTTCAAGTGAGCAATGAGACAAGATCAAGTGTTTCCCATATCTACAATGTCCTCAACCCAAATCCCGTGCTTTCCCTGAATGTCAATCTTCAAATCAAATGAAATCCTCAGAGCTCCATTCGATTCAGTTCCAAAGCCGTACTGTTTCCCTGAATGTCAATCTTCAAATCAAATGAAATCCTCAGAGCTCCATTCGATTCAGTTCCAAAGCCGTACGATTCGGCTCGAACGAAATCGACAGTAATTGGCAACTTGATCTTCCTAACGATGTTGGCCAGGAATATAAATGCACCAGTAGCAACTTCGACAATGACCGGGGCCGAATAAGAGACTGAAGTCTTTGGTAATCTGAGAGGTCAGTTCAGAAACTGGCTGAGAGATCTCTTCTTTGTTCCACAGAATTCTCTCTATGTGGTCGTCCAAAGCCTTATATACATACATATACACAAACTACACACACACATGTATACATGACTTTGGACGACCACATAGAGAGAATTATGTGGAACAAAGAAGAAATCTCTCAGCGTGTTTCTGAACTGGCCTCTCAGATTACCAAGACTTAAGTGCCACAGTCTCTTCTTTGGCTACAGTCATCGTCGGACTTGCCACTGGTGCATTTCTATTCCTGGCCGACATTGTTAGGAAGATCAAGTTGCCAATTACTGTCTATTGCGTTCAAGCCCAAATCATACGGCTTTGGAACAGAATTAAATGGAACTCCGAGGATTTCAATTGATTTGAAGATTGACATTCAGGGAAAACACCTGATTTTGGTCAAGGACATTGTAGACACGGGAAACACTTTATCTTGTCTCATTGCTCACTTGAAATCTGAAGGAGCATCATCCATATCTTTATGCCCTCTCTTTCATAAACCAACAAGACGAAAGGTTAACTTTGAGCTTGTGGGTAAAGGGGAAGTTCTATTGTGGCTTTGAGTGCCCAGATAATTTCATTGTGGGCTATGGACTGGGGACTTTGCTGAACTATACAGAAACTGGACTTATGTTGGGGTCTTGAAGCCTGAAATGTACGAGTAATTCTTTTTGTCAAAGAGTATATGCCAATATCTATTTAGGATTTAGTTTCACTGGTGTATATGGATGACCTTATTCCATACATCAGGGGATAATTGTAATTTTACTTGCACTTTTGGAAAATTTTCCACTATTTCTCAATAAGGATAATATACCTAATTCTTGAAAGTAATGCAAGCGCTTGACCTATTAACTTACAAGAGAGGGGGGCTAAGGATTTAAATATTAAAGTTACACACTCTCTAATAGCAAAGCTTTTGGGTCAAAAGGCAAAGCGCCCAGTCCGTTACAAATGGTATTAGAGTAGGGTAGGCCATGTGTTCAATCCTCAACGACACCCTGATTTAAAATACGTGTTGGGCCAAAATAAGGCCACACGTGAGGAGGCGTGTTGAAGGATATATTTAAGTTACACCCTTTCTAATAGCTTAAACTTTTGGAGTGGATGGTTATTAACAATATCAAATAAGCATCAGCTGTTTTGAATTTGCAGTCCATGGTCATACTTAACTCCTATATTTCTAATAATTAATGTGTTAGCGATAAAGAATGACATCATCAAAATCACTATTATTTTTCTCCATTCTTGGTCAAATGTCTTCAAATGTTATAATCTTAACATTCATATCTATTACATTATTACTACTAGACATGAATGATACAATACAGGCAAATATCAAAATGGATCAGTTCCATCTACACCAAATAATAACAACAATAACAATAACAATGCCATAATAACAGCAAGTAAAAAACAAAGTAAAGCTACAACTTCAAAATAGGTTCAACTAAGAAAAGATAAAAGAACAATACCACAACAGCTTTATCGGCCCCAGAAACAATCTGTTTAAAATGATCCTCATTTAAGCCCAGTTCACCATAGAATGCATCATAGTAGAAACCCTAAGGGACCATTTGACAATTCATCAGAAGCTATTATAATTGCACCGTATAACAAATAAAAAAATTATACATGCACAAAGACCCCAGCAAAAGGTGTTAAGGAACAGAACTGAAGATTTATCTACAACACATGGATAAGCACGGAAAATCAAAGCAATAGTGATTTAATCAACAATTTCAGTTATTTTTTTACAAAAAAGTATTAAAATAAGTTGTGTGAAAAGGTCATTTTACATAATGTTGTTAAATAGAAATACAAGGCATTAGGAGCCAATGTAATTATTGAATCAATGGGGGAGAGATCCATGTAATTGTGCCATATTTTATGAGGTGAATTTAATCTTCTGATTTCAGTGAAAAGTCAATTGTAAATGCAAAATATTTTAAGCTTTAGATTTGGCATCAAAACTCAACCACTGAGAAGTGTAGAACAAATTCACAGGAGGCATAGGGCTTGAAGTTAATATTATATAACACTACTGTCAGTTCTTAACTAAAGTTTACCACTAGGTATTTCCATATTTCATCTACGTTTAACCAAGTTAAGACAATGTTACAAACACTTTGAATCAAGGCCAAAGTTTAGTTCATTCCATTTTTAAAAAAGCACATATGTTTTGCCTACATTAAATAATTAATTATTTCGTGAAACTGATGGGGACAACCTAGATGTTGTGTACTCCACGGAAATCCAAAATTCTTATTCTCTGAGTATCCATTCTTTATAAATCGAATCAACCCTCATAAAAAAATTCCACATCAATGAGTAATCGACCAACGAAATTTTACTTTTAAAGTCTTACTAGTAGACAAACAAACATTTTGATATATTTGGGCAGAGTCCATATGCGAAAAAGCAAATATAACCAAATCATGCTAATCTATGATAGACAAGATAAATGCAGTATTTGTACTTAATTTTGAACAAACTAAGTGATCATTTAACGCAATTTGGATATTAATTCAAACTATAAATTGTAAATTATAGGGACTTCACTTGTCAGTAAACACAAAAAGAAATTTTCAGTTTATCATTGTCACTTAGAACTCCACCTTAGCTAACACAACAAAAGTTCAGTACTAGACGAAAAAAGTATCACATTGGGCTCCCCATACAGATGTAAATTTGAATAACGTGAGAACAATAATGAAACATAAGGTACCTCCCCTCTTGTAGTACACGGTCCAATGCACAATTTGCACCCAAACTCCATCTCAAGGGCCTACACAAACCAAATTCAGTCAAGCTAAATATATATATATATATATACACACACACACACACACCCATTTTCTGAACCACATTGAATGCATAAACAGTTAGAAAGCTTGTACCTGCCCGAGAATGTGAGCACTCGAATGCCAAAAGGTGTCGCGACCTTCGTCGCTATCAAATTTGAACAACTTAAGCTCGCAATCGGCTTCAAGGGGCCTCAACATGTCCCAGAGAACTCCGTTAACCTTCGAAATCAATGCACTCGCCCCCAAAGTCTTCGATATCTCCTTCGCTACGTCGAGTGGTGTCGTCGCCCACTTCTTCCCTTCCTTGACTGTCCCATCCGGCAAAGTTATCCTAACACCAAAAAATAAACAAATAAATATAAATACACATATAAATACATACATACATATATATATATGTACGTGTATATATGTATGTGTTTGTTAAGGTTTGGCAAAGAGTGAGAGAGAGTGATTAATGTGATCGCCGGCTATGAATTGGCAATATATATATAGAGAGAGTATATGTATTACATGTGTGTGCAATTGTTTATGAAGGGGAGAGAGAATACTTGATGGGATCGCCGGCGATGGATTGACGGTCGGAGATTTGTTGAGCTTGGATGGATTGGAAGAGAACGATGCGTTTGGGAATGACGGATTGGAGATAAGCTTCGTCTTTGGGGTGGTCAGGAGCGGACTTTGAAGGGCCATTATTCACCTTTTTACCCATCGCTGACGACGGCGGCGGCGGCGGCGGCGGCGGTAGTGAGAACAGGCGGAGAGAAGCTTTATACGGCTGAGGACGGCAGGAGAGAAATGATAATCGCCACCACACTTGTGTACATAGCATTAGTTGGTAAGGTCGTGTTTGCAGAGGCTTAGGGTTTTTATAATTTTGTCTTATTTTTTTAATTTTACTTCGTCTTAGAGTCCTTTCAACGGCGTCGTATTTAGTTTTGCTTGATTGCGTGGTACGGCCTTGGCGTGGAAACCAAGCTATGGGCCTGTGGACTGGGGGTTAAATGATTCTTTGGGCTCTTAGAAGAGATTTTGGACTGACTTAAATGGTTGGGCCTGGGCTTCTGAACCTCAAAGGGGTAAGTACCTGCTTTGACCAGCCATTTTTAAACACTAGGACAAAACTGCAGAAAACCCCTTCAAGTATTCTACTTTGTTGCATGCCCCTTCCGACAAGCTTCCACTGATAAAATACTGTTAAATGATTATGTGGCACACAAGTGCATAAAACATTCCTAAATTATGCTCCGCGTAGCATTTTTATCTTTTATTTAAAAAAATATGTAAAAAATATCCATAATCTTTTCATATTATGCAAAAATACCCCTCAATCAGAAATCTAACATAAAGTAGTGTTGTAATACCCATTTTTTATATTGTGCAAAAATACCCCTCAGTCAGAAATCTGACATTAAGTAGTGTTGTAATACCCATTTTGCCCTTTTACTCTTCCGAAAATGCTCAAGGGTGTATATATGCTACTAATCTCATAGTATAGAGGTGTTATATGTACATTACCTTATATATATATATATCTAAACTTTTTTAAAAAAAAAAAAATTGAAAATTTGTATAATAAGGATTTAAATTTTTTGAGATTTCAGTTTATTATTTTATAATATTTTTTTTTTCGTACCAACACTGTTAAAAAAAATAATAAATAAAAAGGAAAACAAATCTCAATATCATTGTCCACTGATTTTCAAAATTTGGAACAAATTTATTTTCTTTAGTTTACACTTTATTTTCGTTTTTTATTTTATATTTTTATCTTTACTTTTCTTTTATACTTTTATTTTTATATTTACTTGTCAATTACCAATATCCTCCAATATTGTCATTTTCGATTATTTTACAAAATTACTTATTTTTATATATTTTATAAAATGATTCAATAAGGGTAATTTAGTTAACTTAGGGTTTAAATTTGTCAGAGAGACCTATTTGCACCAAATTGAAACTTTAGGAGTATTTTTTGCACGTGAAGCCGGGGCATTCTCCAATAGTGTCTTTTCGGTCATTTTACAAAAGTATTTATTTATATATATTTTATAAAATGGTTCAGTAAGGGTAATTTAGTCAACTTGGGGTTTAAATTTGTCAAATGAATCTATTTGCACCAAATTGAAACTTTATGGGTGTTTTTTGCACGTGAGGGTGTGATATATACTGTAAACATATTTTAGGTGTGTTTTATGCACTTGACTCTAAAAATAAGTGAATAAGAAGACAAAACAACATTTATTTAAGAGTAGTGATACTCACACCGAACACTTGCAATGAATTGCCTAACCGAATAATTTTTAATTGGTTATTTATACCAAATACAACTAAATGGAGGGTTGTAGTTCCTTATTTGTTGCATAATTGGCCAATTAAAAGAGCAGGTTCTTTTTCTTTCTTTTTTTCTTAATTGGTACTTACACATGCATGCCTCCACCGAAACTCGAACCTCTGATCTCCCTTTGAAAAGTAGGAGCTTGGTACCTCTAGGCCACTAGTTCATTGAATACACTATCAACTTTAAATAAAGTATTGAGATAATGACTTGCGTTCATTGCTTCATGGCACGTGATTAGCAATTGGGTGGATTTAGGCGGGCTTAGGACTGATCATGAATGGGCGAGTCAATAGTGGGTTAATAACCCATTATCAATCCATTTATGATGGGTGAAAAAAATGTTCGGTGTTAAATGGGTTACTTAACACACACCCAACCCAATTACCCAAATATTTGTAAATACAAATTGTCAAATTATTTTAATTATTAAATACCAAAAATATATATAAAAATATTTTTATACTAAAGTTATTAATATTTTGGTCTCACTCGTTACAATTTTTTATCCATTTATTTTTTATTAATTTGTTATTATTATTAGTTTTTTTGGGAAAAATTTACTATACAACTTACTTTGAGAGTTATCATAGCCAAAAAAAAAAAAAAAAAAAAGGCGAGAAAATGGAGCAGAGAGATATGGAGAGAAGAGAGAGAAATCGTGGGAAGAGAGAAAAAAAATTGGGGGGGGGGGGGGGGGAAGAAATAGAATGGCATAGTTATCCCACCATAAAAATAAAAAAATAATAATAAAAAAAATTTAAAAAAATAAAAAGGAGTTAGAGAAAGGTGATGAGCGCTAAAAAGTGTGTATTTAAACCCTTTAAGCTCGAGTATTTTATGACCTTTATCTATCTTATTTTCCCGTTTTAGACTAATTTCATGTTATTGCTCTTTTCAGGAGCTTATCCCCAAAATAAGTCAATTAAGCCAAATTAGAGCATAAAAGAAACAATTTTAAGCTAAATGTAAGAAAAGAGCAAAGTGGTGGAAAACAGCAAGTTTCGATCGATCTCACAGTGATCGATCTAGCCTCACCAAGATGGATCAAACCCCTTATCCTTATCCTCAAAATTTTCCATCTTCGATCGATCCAACTTTCTTTTCGATCGATCGAACTTCTTTGATCTTATCCCCACCTACCACTTTTCTCTTTTTCCCCAAAATATCCCAAAAATATCTCAGACTTGTCCTATTCCAAAAAGGCACCGCCAAGGTTTGATCGATCTGGCCATACTTTGATCGATCTGAACATTCTTCGATCGATCTCATCAGAATTCGATCGATCGAATCTCATCAAGTTCGAAATAAAACAGAGTCCAATTCATTAAAAGATGGCTCGTGGTGCAATCATTGAAGGGGCCTAGTGCACGAGACCTGTAATACCCCTAATTTCAAAAGGATAGTCCTCGTATTTAATTTATTGTTTAAAATTGATTTTGATTATTTCTTTGGTTTGATTTAATTGTTTTAATTGTTTTAGTTGCATTTGATTACTTACTTGTTTTAATTTCATTTATTTAATTGTTGCAATTGAAATTAATTATTTAGTTGGTTTGCTTTACTTAACTTAAATGGTTTAATGAGTTTACTTTAATTGTTTAAAGTGAATTGTTTTATTTACAGTTAATTTTGTTTTCCACGTGACTGTATGGAAGGTGGCACGTAGAGTATATTAGGTTTAAGTTATATTAGGTTTAAGTTCAGCCGACATTGTAATTTAACCTAGGTTGTTCTATGGGCCGAGTTATACATGGATTAGGGTTTAATCACTAAGCCTATAAATATGTATGTCACGGTGGTTTAGGGTTTTAGAAAAATAAACGTAATTTCTGTAAAAACAGAGACCGTAAGATACAGAGGGAAAACAGAGAGAGATAGGAGGGGAAGGCTAGATGGGATCAAAGGAGGAAGGAACGTGGTTTTGTGGAACAGCAGCAGGGAGTTTAATAGACAATTCAGAGAACAGTGGTGTTGCGTTTTAAATCTGAACCTCAAAGGCAAGTCTATGTTCTACTCTTTCCCTTAAATCTATGCTCTATGCATGCCTAGCTAGACTCCAGGGGTTTAATGAACGCTAAAATTGAGTAATTATGCATGCTTAGTTAGACTGAAACAGAGGGTGTGTGACTTTGTTTTCATATTTCTGTTTTGAATGATTCTAAAAATTCTTGATGCATAATTGATGTTTAGGTTTAATCTTTGCATGTTAAAACATCTAAAATAGTTTAGTATGGACGTGTGGGACTTAGGTTGAAGCTTAGAGTCTTTAACTATGGAGTTTTAGGGTTCATAGAGGCTGAATAGACGAATAAGATAACTTCAGCACCAACTCAGCCGACTGAGTTGGCAAGCCAACCGACTCAGTTGGCAACCCAGCCGACTCAGTTGGACCGTGACCTGGATGTTGGTTTTTAATTGTCCAGAATTATTTCTAAACCTATTTTAATTAATCTAAATGGGTTTAATGGACTTAAGAAGATCCCAGAATGCATCTTATATCTATATATGCTAAGAAGGTGGATGGTTAGGAAATCCAATAACTTATATGTTGTTTAGATTGGATAGAAGGGTAAATTTAATTGCTCTGCCAATTGAAATTAATGTTTAAAAAGATTAAACAATGTTCATGAAACGTTATGTTTGTTTATCTGAGATGTATGTTAGTAACTTGGAGGGTAAGTTAGCTACATGCTATTTAAACTGTGGTATTGCTTAAATAAATGCAATACTTATCTGTATGACGTGTATCATATTATCTGTGGATTAAATTGATGTATTATTTTTTATATTGCATCATTTATTGGACTGGATGGTTTAATTTTATATCATAATATTTCTATTTTAATTGATGTGTTATTATTTTGTTGCATCAATTGTTAGACTGGATGGATTAATGCACCGGTATAGGACGGTGGCATTTTAGGGACGGATTAACCAAAGAAGTTAAATCCTACCTAACCTAGATTGAGGTATGGTTTAACCATAAGGGTTAAATCCATCTCCTACTTATGTCATATCAATAAAATAATTGAATGACCTACTTGGGTTTCTGGATGGATTGTTATACAGGTATCAAGCCACTATACCAGATGGATGAAATTTTGTATTAGGAGGACACGGACTCTATATATTTATGTTATGGTGCCATGGTATGAGCTTGAGTCTCAGGATCATAGTTATGGTGCGTATATCGCCTAGGATGTATAGCTGGACAGTAGTTGTTGTTCCCTGGTAGGTCTAGGTACTCATGACCACGTAATGTGCGATTTGCATGGTATCTCTACTCAGGCTGCGACAGACCTATTGGACTAGTGAGCGTCCTATAGTGTTTAATATATACATAGATGGACTACTCTAGATATTGTTGAGTCTATCTAGGGTGTATCTGCGTATCGGATTCCTGTTTGGATCGTAGTAGATCAGGACTTGCATGTAGGCCTGACCCACTCTCTTATTATTTTTAGGTGCTCGTCAGTTCCAGGGTTAGAGCTTGGTCATGCAGAGCGGAT